ATGGTGTAAGGTGAATAGAACATCTATATTTTTCTGATAATTCATTTATCACTTGTGCTCTTGTCATTTGTTCTGATGTTAAATCTTCTTTTTGAACAGCTCTAGATTTATTTTTCTTATGAAAAACTTTAATTTTTTCTGTATTAGAATCTGAAGATGAACTATTTTCTGGAATTTCCTATATAATTATAAAAATAAATATAAAATATTTGATATAATTTATTATTATTATATTATTATAATTACATACCTTTTTATTATTTTTTTTTCTTTTTTGAATATTATTAATATAAATACTATTAAGAATAACACTAATTCCCATTTTTTTATTACTACCAATTATTTTTTTATATTCATTTAAAAAATCATTAAAATCTGTTTCTTTCTCCAAAGTATTTGCTGTACCTCTACTATTGAGTGCTTTGTATTGAAGAGAATAATCAAACACATTGAGTTTTTCATCACCAAGAGATTTTTGAATATATAAATGAATTTTTTCAATGATATTATTAAAATTAACTGGTGAAATTATTAATATTTTAGCAGCATTATATTTTTGTTTGTTTTCAATTATCATAGATAATTTTAGTTCTTCTATCTTACTTGAAGTCATAGTTACATCATCAGAACCATAATCTTGTAACAATATTTTTGCTAGATTATTTTTGTCTTTATATTTTGCTCTTTGATATTTACTATTGTATGTAGAACAAAGTGTATAAGAAAAGAATAAATTAAAATCAGTTCCATATTGGAATTTTATATTAGCATCTTGAAGTAATTTGCTAGCTTGTGAAAAAGATATATCTGGAAAAAAGACACAAAGATAAAATTATTGACCAGGTAATATATTTTTAACTTTAGAAGAACAAATATTTTTATTACATATATAATTTTCTTTGTCTATTTCAAAACAATATAGGCATTTTGAGCAAATATAACAACTGCCTAATTGATAAATAGTTGAGCCTTTGGTTTTTTTTAGGAGACATTTAATATAAAACAAGAGAAATAAAAAACAAATGATCTTTAAATTTAATGTGCGAAACTTAATTTAATAAAAATTTATTGGATAATTTGAAATGTGATATAAATTTTTATGAAATTTTATTGGTCTAAATTTGAAGATCATGCATATGATATTGTTTATTTGGTATTCGAATAACTATCAATTATATTACCAAATTTTCACATGACCATATAATTTTGCAAAGAGTGATGATTAGGTATTTTATATTTATATCATATTTATTTAATTATTATTACATAATTAAATAATTATTAATTTAGAAAAAATTCATCTAAACTAAATTGTTGTAACATATTGATTTTTTTTACTTTTATAAATTTTTCAATTGTATTTACTAATTTAATATACTTTTCTGAATTTTCTTGTTGAAATAAAAACATTTATACATTTTCTATACTTTATAATATATCACTTAGTATGGACTATAACCCACCTGAAAATGTCATGCATTTTGCTTTTTAGGCCACACTTGAGTGACGTGCATTATGTATTATATAGGTTGCATTTGTATCGTTACTTGAGAGCCACTGAGACATGCGCCTGTATGACGTGCATTTTGCTTTTTAGGCTACACTCGAATGACGAGTGATTTGTGTTTGTCTCATCACTCGAACTGATATATATCAGGTTGGCAATTCGTGTGTGGTCTAATGACAAAAGTTGGCCACATAGGTAAAAAATATATCTAACGATGCATTCAGTCGCATGTCACCATTTGTAGGTCCGATGTGAGGTCTATTTTTTTTAAATAATATAAGTAAAATGCATATTCTATAGTATTATTTATATCTAAAGAAATTGATTTTTCATCACTTTGAAGAAATTTTATAAGCTTTGCTTTTACGTCATTTTCAATTTTCTGCCAATTTTGATTAATATCATCTTGAGAACTCATTTTGTATACCGCATAGAATACTTAATAGAAAAAATAATATTATCAGATACATGTTGTCAAGTATATCGTGAAAATGCTATTGGGTTACTATCAAGGAATACTATTAACTATGCTATATACACATTATTGGATATATAACTTCCATTTTTCTTATATAATATTACTGAACTTATATATCCCGACTTCATGTGAAAGATGAAGGTAACTTCCATTTTTCTTATAATATATTACCGAAGTTACCTTCATCTTCACTATACCTAAAAACATATCATCAAAAAGTGAGATGTTCTACCAAATTCTTATATAATATTACTGAAGTTACCTACTCAAAAAATACTACCAAATATACGTGAAAATATATCCGATTAATATATGTTGAGATGAAGGCTTCTTCTATAATTATTATATAATATATCTGAAGTTACCTTCATCTTCACTATACCCAATCACATATCTTAAGAATCTACTTGAAAAATATACTACTTATAAATGTTATTGGGTAATGTTATCAAAATAGCTTTAGTCACCTATATCCGATAAAGGCTTCTTCCATAATTATTATATAATATATCTGAAGTTACCTTCATCATTACTATACCTGACTACATATTTTTGCTACCACCACTGAAAGCAGTCACGTAGTAGGCATATATACATTTCCTAAATAAAGGCTTCTTCCATTTTTATATAAATATATTACTGAAGTTACCTTCATCTGATATCTAATATCAGGATTGCGACTCTTTATATTCTCCTTGCCAATATTCGATACATTTTTTTTGATGTCTCGTACCAAGCACGAAAAAATTAATTTAAACTTTTGAAAATATATTGGGATAATATAACTTTGTTAACTGATAGAATTATAGCATAAAAAAATCAAATACCAAAATGAGCGCACAAAACTTATAAAATATTAGGTACGGGAGCGGAGAAAGCAATGACTATTCAAGTGACTCCGATAAATATAGTGATAATATATTTGAATGTGAATTGGAAAATTGCAGTGACTATGGCTCCGACTATGAGTCAGATACCGAAACAAGTACTATTAAGTCTCCAATATCCCAACCCCCTAAAGTAGAAGAACAAATGTCTAATACGACAAATTCTACAGATCAAGTGGAGGTTATATATACTCAAAGGCAAGAAAAGTTCGATAATAAATTTATCCAGAAAGATTTATTAAATAGAATCCGTGGAATTGCTTCCCCACCTACTAGAGAAATGTTGAGCACTAAAGGCTCGTTGGAAGATGTATATTTATGGGACTATCTCAAACCTAATAATGGAGCAAAGGGAGGAATCAGTCTATTCGATGTGTATATGCGAGAAGAGTTGGCAGATAAATTAGTTATACAGGTAGAACAAGGTGAGTATAAAAAATTCTCAGTTATAGATAATATTTCTGAAGTATATGGTTTACCTGGAATTCACAAATGTATTGATGGACAAAGACCTCTAAGGCCTGTTATTGATATCGATGCCTCTAGTGAAAAAATGGGATTAGAAAAGGTTAATGCTAAAAATGTATTTATTCGTATTTGTTGTTCATTTATAAGAGCATTATATCGAATTCTTGATTGCAGTTGGGAAGAAATTCTCAAAGGATTGGTAATTGCTACATCATCTGACTCTAGTAAATGCAGTTACCACCTCCTATATGCCCCAACTTTACTTATTGACTATCTAGAACTCAAAGAATTTATGGAACTGGTATATAAATTAACGGAAGAAAAATATGATAAGTTTATTAATAGGAGATTACCTAGTCGAAACTTTAATCTCTGTTTAATCAGTTCAGCAAAAAAAGATCGTGTGAAGCGCATACTTCAATTCTCACTAGATAATGGATGGAATGAACTTGATTACGCAAGAGTACAACCACCATCTAATGCAGAATTCAAAATAAGGTCCCGTATACTTAGTGTAAAAATAAATAATCAGAAAAAAATAGTCGTGGGTCAAGATGCGCTAAAAAAATATGCAAATCTGGTTATGCAGAAATATTCTAATTATCTTGGGAGTTGGGATATTGAAGAAAAGGATTTCTAATATTTCGTATATTTTAACCGAAAAGCGTATATAGAATGTTCAATATGTAATCGCATGCACGAAAAAGATCAGTGATGGTATGGACGTGCATATGGCAATAGCTCATTCATTGTAAAATGCTTCTAGCAAAATCGTGACGAATCGGGAAAAATTTTCAATGACCCATCTATCGCGAAAAAAATTCAGCAAAAAAATAAAAATATTATTCCACCACCTGTTATACATAAGGTAAAGGGTCCAAAGTTTCCATGGCCATTCTTAAAAATGCCTAGTTGGGCTAAATGCGATTCTCCCCTTATCGCAACAGAAGTATATGAGGAGCGATATGTAAAACCTCTACCTAAAGAAGGTGATGTATATGTAGGTTCACAATGAGAGACAGGAAAGACTTATACTTTAGAACACCTTACGATTCCAGATGCTATAAATTTGCTTGCTCTATTCACACGACACACCTACTCTAGTGTCATTACGGTAAGGCTTAATCTCAAATCATACTGTGATATTGAAACCAAAGATATAAACCTTTCAGATCACCAAAGAGTAGTGTGTCAAATAGAAAGTTTGCATCGTATTATTAACAAATGCAAATGCAAGAAAAAATGTAAATTTCCTCCAATACCATATGACTTATGGCTCGATGAGGTAGTATCTGTGAATAGTCAAGCCCACACTCGCTTAACAGGACGGTCAAGGAAACATTTACATAAGCTAATTTAAGAAGCGAGGCATATTATTGTTATGGATAATAACCTTACTGATCTTAATATAGAATGGATCAAATCACTTCGAATAGGTAAGCAATTTTCAGTTATCCATAATACTTATTAACTCCAGAAAGGTAAATTGTTCCATCTGGCTCTTAACAAAGAAACTTTATTATCAGAACTCTGGGATTGGACTAGAAAAATGTCTATATTAGAACCTGAGAAGCGGAAGGGTGCATCGGTTATATGTCATCTTAGAAAAGATATACAAGAGATTGTTCGTACTCTTAAAACTGATTTTCCAGAATTACGTATCAAAGAGTATCATGGTGATTCTGATCTAGTTGAAAAAATGCGGGACTTTAGTAATGTTGAGGAAGCATGGAAAGATGTAGATATAGTGGCATACACTAGTACATTAAAAATAGGAGTTACATGTACTAACCCCAAGTTTGAACAGGTATTTTGTCTTTTCAAAAGTTATATAGAAACAAATGCTGGGACAAACCAGATGTTATTCCGTATGAGGTGTATTAAAGAATACACATGTCACATTGAACAAAGATTGTCAAATCTCCCAATTACAGAAGAAGGATTATTAAACTGGTTATTAAAAGCTAAGCGCGAATGCCTCCCCCAAGAACTTCAGAATAGGAGAATATTTTCAGATATAGAATCCATTATCCGAAATAGAGACATTCCAACAGTCCGATTATAGGTTGCCCATACATTGGAAAAATTCCGATCACGTCATTTGTTTGAATGGAGAATGGTTGATTTTCTTCAAAAAGCAGGGATAGAAATCGATATATTAAAATCAGTAGCATTGTCTAAATCTGAAAATAATATAATATCATTAACTGGAGCAATAAAAGCATGCTCTTCGGTTATTAAAGCAGAGGGGATTTCAAACATCACCAATGCTAATATTATTAATCACGAAATGGCTGAGATTTTAGAGAATAAATCAAAAAAGACCTTAGAGGAAATACGAGCCCTAAAGCGGTTTCATATAGTAGAATATTATAGGTTATCATCTGAGTTTTTAACTGAAGAATTCATTATGAATTATGGCAAGTATAATGAAATGAAATGGTTTAGAAATCTCCGGAACTACGAGACGCGGGTACTAATAATAAAACAGCTGTTGAGGTTATTACCCGTGAAGATTATAGAAATGACAGACTCACAACTGTCACTCAAGCTGAAAAACATTGAATCTGTCTGGAATTAATAAAGACTTGTACACTAGTTAAAGATGTTGATATTAGAAATAGATACAAAGCCGATATTGTCAAAACACGTCTAAATTCACCTGAATCGATACAGCATCTTCAAAATCTAGTTCCTAAAATGACTTGGATTTTTGATAATACAGATACATTTCGAAGTGCTAAAAAATCTGGCTTAAAATTAGATAAGGCGAAACTTGATTTATTGAATTCAGCATTCTCCGAAATTTATGGGATAAAGTTTAAAGCTATTGATAAAAATTATAGATATTATCACCTAGTTGAACCATTCGATAGTGAAGATGTCCCAAAATTATCAGCATATCAGACAGTTGAAGGACCTTTTTATGAGAATAGAGAAGATATATGATATGGGTATAGTAAACTCTTACCTGACGGACTAGAGACCACTCCTAATTCTATCCCACAAGATACTCAGGACCTATTTGATATCTGTTAAAATGTATGTCTATCCAATGAGACGATTCATGATATATCTTACAAAAGGGGTTTTTGTGACATTTAAAAAATGCGATTGGAAAAATTTGACCCACGGCTATATTATATTGCAGAAGGGATTTTTATGTCACCCAAAATAATATATACTTAAAATTTATCTATTGTCTTGCAAACCCGAAAGGTGATCCAAGAATCATGGGCTTTGTCCTACTTACAATCTGTTTTAAGTCTATGACAACAGATACGGTATGTTCCTATTGAGGAATAAATAGTACTTCGACTCTGTATATCTAACTTAGCTTATTTGCATTTTGGGAGTACCAGCTCCGCTGATAATATCGATCTTTGGCTTGCTCTATAAATAACCCATTGGGTTGATAAAGCCACTCGATTACTACATGCTAAATAATTTTAGCTGAATCTATTCGCCTTCGATGCCATGAACGAAATATCCGCTGAATAGTCAGCACTGCTTGTTTTTTGGCGTGATCGTGAGTAATAAGTCCTTTTTGTCTCATTCGATAGTTCAATAAATAAAATCGACCAGAGTATTTTGGGCAATACCCTGTTATTGATATAGTAGGTTTTCTACAAATACCGTAAGGAAATTTCTCTATATTTTTCTCATGTAATCTCCAATGTCTGTAACAACCTGTGAGGCACCAACATTTGTTCCCACAAACAGAACCATCCCTTTTAATATGAGGACAGATAGCACGATCCATAAAAGTATTTTAGGATGTAATATATATAATATGTATAAGATTCAAATATAAATGTCAATTTAAATATTTTGAATAAATAATGAGATAAAATATCTTTTATAATATACTCGAAGTAGCACTTATACTATGTATACCAAAAATCCTCTTGTTATACCTGAATTACTCGAAAAAATATTTACCAATTTTGAATATAGTAATCTTTATTATTGTCTCGCTGTAAATCATCAATGGTATTCAGAAGCATCTCGAGCTCTGTTTATCCAGTTCCAAGATGACCTTAATTCTATAAAAAAATAATTAGAATATATCGAGACAGAGAGAAAACGATTGCATGAACTAACTAATAGTTTTACTTATGTGGGGATAAAGTGAAGAGGTAGGTGCGAAATTGCATATAAAATTATAAATATTTATAAACCAGTTAACGGACAAATCGATGATCTAGTAATTCTTCATATCTGTCTTTCGAAATCTAAAGAATTGCATACAAAATTCTATAAACAATGAAAGCCCCTTTACAGATAGGTAAGAATGCTTGAGAAAAGAAAATGGAAAGATTTACCACCAAATTTCTTTATCTTATTAGAGAATTCAGATTAAATTATTTAAGCCCCCTATTTGAAACACATTAATCTGTAAAAAAACTCTATATCTCCAACATTTTTTTACTGCATCTTTAATTCGCTGAGCTGTTCCTCTTAATAAGTTGGTGGGTAATGTTTCCATGTGGAATTTGTCTCCATGTATATAAATTTCGATTTAAATATTTCGAATTTATAATGAGATAGAATATCTTTACGTACTAATATCACATATACTATACATTACACCAGTACTATACAAAAATGTATAAAATGTATACCCGAGAGCCAGAACATAACAAAAAAACAATTACTGTTAAGAAATTATTCAAACTAGCGAGGCGTTCGAGAAAACCAAAAATATATAATCCCAAAACGAATCGCATAATTACAATCGATAGGTAGACATATAACAAATTAATACGTGATAGATATGTGCATTGGGAAGAAGAAAGAATCTTGATTCCACCATCACCATTCGAGAAATATATTAGCGGAGCAAGCACAAGGTGGTAAAAATAAAACGATAAAAGCAAATGATATTAATGTAGCCTAGGATTCCACCCCTAGGCTCGAAGAGCCATTGCTTTGCAATAGAGTTATATGCACTACGTACATGCTAAGCTATAAATTTTTTCGTTATATTCTATGTATTGATAAATTTCAAATCAACAGATGTGTACCATGTACCTGATATATATCGATTATTTTTCCTAGGACCTCCTTAAGTAATGCTATATCCTCTTTAATACCCGCTATATTTTGCGCAATCTTATTTCGCAGAGCTACGGATTCCGTAATTTTTGATCGATCTCGTGTCCTATTCACGTTCATTTTTCAGTAGAATTACATTAACTACAACTGATTTAATTTCTGGGATATATACCGGCCTGGGATAATTAATTTCGATTTGAAAAAATATTTTCCATAGTTATAGTCCATAAAATTATACCATAACAACAATGTCGAAAGTAGTTACAAATTTCATAAATCAATATAACTTAACTCCTCAGATGAGTATCGCTGAACTTGGTAATTATACTGAAAAAATATGTACAGAGATTAAAGATTATAAAGCCTGTGACCACGCTTGGAATAGAATTCAGAAGTTAGGGTTTAGCAGAGATCATACATATACTTTGATTCCTATCCGAGCTTCCAGAAGACGTGTTACAGGGCGAAATCCAGTTAAAAGGCTTGCTCAATATATCAAGGAAAATGAAGATAATCTCGAGTCCGAAGAGATAAATGCGCTAGTATATAATTTAGCTAAAACAGCTAGCAGCGCGATAGCCCAATCTTCACATCTTAAATTACTTTGAAAAGAATTACGTATACTTGATGCTAATTTTATTACAATAGAAGCAATATATGTATCAGATATTACTTGAAAATCAAATAAAGAACAAGCGATAAATCAGGAATTTTGTGAAGATAAGGGATTAAATTATCCCGAATTCTTTTATCTTGAAAATGTTCAGGAAAGACTTAGTAAATATGGTATAACAAAATCACCTTCTATACAAAATTTAATAGACGTAATAATAATGTTATCTATGAGGCCAGCAGATGTTACAAATTTTCATATTGATTACTATAAACCATCTAATGCTGATTGGTATAAATCTAAATATTCTTGGTATTGCACTGGTTATGCAAAAAATACAAAAGACGAACATAGACCATTAGTATCTATGGAAAAAGATCCACTACGGGCCAAGGAATTACTCATTTGAATTCAGAAAGCAATTTCTAGCGAATTCCCATTTTTAATAAGAGATAAAGATAGTGATGTAAATGTTCACCTCATTAATAATTTCCTAGCTATTTATGATATAAGCTCATCATATTTGAGAAAAATCAGATCCGATCATGCTATTGATATTCATCGAGGTAAGACTGACTCTAAACGTAACCGTCTCCGTAAATTAGCATTAAGACACAAAATAAATCGAGAAGCATCAGAT